CCAGGCAGGGAAGAGGAGTCTTTGACTATTAAATCTCTTTGGGAAATGCCGCCAGCTCTACTTCTCACATTTTCACTGATCTTACGTTGGAATGCTAAGGAGGGCTTTTGACCACCCACTCTAAATGCTTGTCCCCCAGGGTATGGCCAACATTGCTGGGAAAGGGTTCCTATGAGCTGACCTAGAGAAGGCTATTACTGGGGTGAAGAGTGGGGAGAGCTTCGAGCAGGGACTTCTAGAGAGCAGAGGGAGCCACTGTACCCATAGGACTGGAGAGAGAGAGCTCAGCGTCCCAACAATGCAGGGCCCTGGGCCACCTTGCGCGGCTGATCGCTGACGCCTCGGAGGCCCCAGCCTGGCTGTGAACTTGGTCTAAGGCGGACTCTACTGGCAGCTTGGGGATGTTACAGGCTCTGCCGCTCGTTCAGTTCAGTGGCTAAGCGGATCACCCGCGCGCTTTCGGTTTCCTATCCGCCCAAATATCTCCTCCCAGACCCCCAGCCTCTCACCATTAGGAAGAGTTTCGTATTTTTCGTCCGTAGGGGCCCTTGAGAATCGGAAAGCAAAGAATAGAGAGCGAGTTAAAGAGATGCACAAAGAGAGAGAATAGAACAAGCCTGCAGAAGCCCCTATTTAGGGTTTATCCTTCAAATCCCGGAAGAGAAGACCCCTCCACGCGCTGACACTTTTTTTCCCACTTCTCCCATAAATGCTTCTTTTCATGCTGACGTCCCACATTTCCATCTGCTCTAGGACATCTCTTGGTTAGGCAAGCCTAATCTGGGACTGGCTAAGCACCTTTCTCCCTTGATGCATTCGTCCCTACCCAACTGGGCTGCGAGGTTAGCGATCGCTGTAACCCAAACCAGCTGCCGTGCTAAGAGGCTGCGGACTAGGCTGCAGCTGCGTGGGCTCAGCCCAAATCCACTCCCAGAGCAAGGCTAAAGTGTGGCCTGGCAGCCTGTGGGCCGTGTCCAGGTAGCAGAAGCTAAAGAATGCTGCAAAAGTACATTTTCTTTTCCAAGAAAGATAGAGAGAGAGAAGAGATAGGACAGGAGATGTCCAAGCCATAGATAAAAGGAAAAAGAGTGGAAAAGGGGAGAGAGGAAAAAAATTAACACTTGGGCAGGAGGTGATTTTCAGGATCCGACAGGTGCCAAGTTGCCTGAAGTCCAATCCTCTCCATGCCCCCAAATTCTCCTCTTCCTCTTAGAACCCACAATCTAGGTCTCAGTGAATTCACTAAAAGAAAGGACTAAAGATCTGCCTAAACCTGTCGGCACGCCCCCACCCCTGGCCTGGAGCAGCGGAGGTGGCTGCAGTAGTTCGGCAGGACTGTAATGTATGCGGCCCGCTGCTCGCAGCTCTTGTAGGCTGGCGCTGCGGCCCCCGTCTGCTGACCTCTGTGTGATCCCAGACTCTATGAATTATTGATGAGATATGAGCGTTGATTTCCCCTTTCAGGATGCAAACTCCATTATATTGTTAAAATGGCGATTTAATCGTTGAGAATAGCTTTGGTGTGGGTTTTTTCCCCCAACTCATTTGTGCCTCCTTCCTTTTCATTTAACTCTCTTAATTAAATCCTTTAACAGATTTTAATCACTTTTGGAGGGAGGGGTAGGAGAAAAGGGAAGACCATAACATCATCACTACCAGCAACAAACGGGACACTAAAACAAACAAAACAAACCCGAAAACCATCAAAAGTTTCTACCTTTGGAAAGTTGAAAAGAAGGTAAAGAGGGGGTGTTAGCCCCTCTAGAAAGGTCGTGGTGGTAACATCCACCAGAAAAACACAGCATTGGAGGGCTGGGGAAACTGACAAGGAGAAGTCAGGTGGGGGCCTTCAAGAACTGGCTTGGGACATGTTAAATTCCACCCCCTAGGAGATGTGTGGGTAGTCCAATTGTGGAGACTGAGTCACTCTTACCCTTGCTGAGAACTCCAAATACTTCAAGCTTGGGGAGGGCCACAGGATTCCGGTGGAAAATAACTTCAATCTGGGCCTCAGGGGCACTTAGAGAGAAATGTCCATTCTCTGTAAAGGGCCCCCCGTTTCTCTCCTCCCCTCTCCCACCCCAAACAGCTCAGTTTCCAGGCTTGTCTGAGTTAATTAATATGTATGTGTAACAGCACTGCAGCAATCGATAAATCCTGCTGTGGGCAGATCCCAGTCTCGGAAATCCGATTACTCTGAGAAACAGCCAAAAATGGGGAGGATTACCAGTAGCCCCTCCTCTAAAAGAGGGGACTGGGTCCTTTCTAGCCCTGTCCACTAAAGTTGACCAGGTTAGTCCCAAGCTGGGGGAGCCCATGCAAGGGAGACCAGAACTGGGAAGGGACTGAGTTTGGGAATTGTGTCAAGCGTTTGTCTTCATCTTTGCTCTGAATCTTTGGCTTTCTCCCCAGTATCCAGATCCCAGGGGTAGAGAAACCTGACATAGAAAGGATCTTCCTTGTGGATTTCCCCATTCTGCCCACAGTCCTCATTGGATAACTTCTGACAGTAAGGGAAGGGTTAAATGTCCCTGCCACAGTTATGGAGAGGAAGCCGATGAAATATGGGCGCTTAGAACTCCAGGCCCGACTGGCTTTCCTGTTTACAGTTCTTTATACTTCCTCCCACCCCTTGGCCTGGGAGAAACAAAACAAAACAAATAACAAAATAAAACAAAACAAAAAAAAATCAAAATCAAATTGCCCACTGAGTGGTGGCCAGGCTAGCCTCTTAGGAAAAAGGGAAACTACAGCCTTAATCCTCAGCTGTCACCTCCTGGGGCCAGTCCCAAGTTGAGGATTTAGCCCGAGGGTGTTAGCTTATAATTCAGCAGGGGAGAGGAAGCAGTAGGAAAGGATATACAACAGAGCCCTGGAGAGAGTAGAACAGCTTCCCCAGAGAGAGAAATGACTTGGGGGAAGGCGGGAAGGGAGGGGACAGGTCTGGAGCATAGGATGGAGTTTTTACAACAGAAACCCCTTCACACCTCTCATCCCTTCCCCCAACTTGTCCTGATTGGGATTTAGGCAGGAAGGTTGCTCAAAGAGCCAGAATTGGGAACAAGAAAGCCCAGCAGTAGGATGTGTTCACTAGGATCTGCTTAGAGAGAGGAAACCCACCAAAGATTTGGTCACTGAGGCGGAAGAGGGCACCCCTGCCCAGGGATGCTATTTGCCATTCCAGAAAATCTATCCAGATATATCCAGCAGAAGTCCCCAGGCAGTCAGCCACACATACTCTTCATCAGTATGCAGTACTGACATAAAGAGGGGACCAAAAAGACCCCAAAATCTTCAGGGGCAGGCCTGGTTAACTAGGGTTTAGGAGTCCCGGAAAGGCTTCTAGAGAGTGAAGGACATTACTGTCATGAGACCAGGACCATATTAGGAATGGGGTCGCCTGGAGGTCCCAAGTCAGATCTCTCCCTGCTGCTCTCTTTCTTGAGTCACTCTTAACTCCTTTGCCTTGTAGACAGTGGAAGCCTGTGGAAGCTATGCCTTCATAATATATTAGTATTTTTAATGGTGCTGGGATCCTTTTGGAGCTGACCAGAGTCTCCTTCCCAAGAGAAACGAATGCCCAGCATTCTTGGGATAATGTATCTTCAAACCAGGGTGACTCTGTTTTAACCTGTTAAGATTCTCCTGCAAGACTTTAAGTCAGGCTTGGGCAGAGACTGAAGAGCTCAGGGAATAGAGTGTGGCTTCAGGAGAAAAAAAGAGAGGGGGAGAGTTCCAGTGTCCCTTAATGGGAAACAGGGAGGCTCATGACACAATGATCATAAGCCCCTTAAGGTGCCACATGTCCAATCCTAGGAACTACCCATGGGGGAGTTGGTGAACTAATCGAGAAATGGTGGACTGATGAAGAGAATAGTGACAGGGTGGTTGCCCCATGGTCTTAAAGTGGGGATGGGATGTTTAACTTGGTGAGGAAGAGGACTCTGACTTTTAGAAGAAGGGTGACTTTTCCTTAAAAAATAACAGGCCCTCTTGGTTCAAATCCTGAAGTCCCTCTGGTTTGTGGTGGCATAAAACAAAGGGGCCTTTGAGGGTGTGCCTAGGAGAGAAGAGGAAAGAAGAGAAAAAGAAAAAAAGCACCTTTCCAATTTTCTCTCCTAGCTCCTGAATCTCTTTTTTCCCCTTCTGACACTTGGGTAGGAGGGAATCTGAGTTCTTGAGTAGGTTTTATTTATGAAGAGCTTGCCAGAGATGCATTTAAATACCCAAGTCTTCTCAAGGGAAGACGCGCTCCCCTGCCCCTACTCCTGGCCAGGAATTAGGTTTTGGATCGGAGGGAATTGCCTCTCTCTGCACTCCCTACTCTGACCTCAGGATCCTACTTAGAGTCAAATAGAAGTATTAGCTTGGGACCAACAGGCTGAAGGTTGGTGCAAAATGGCTATGCTCCCCATTCCAGACAGCCCTGGTAAAGCAATGGAGAACTGGAGGGACTCTCTTTTATAAGATTCAAAGATCTGAAAGTCAGCGAGTACCCCAAGGCAAGGCAGCCCACAGCAACCACTTCCCCTGGTGCTTTTTCTTAGCTCAGATATATCCAGATAAAAGTGCCCAGTGGCGCACGCCCACATCCCTGAAGAGGGAATGTCATAAGTTTATTTTCCAAGGGTGGAAGAATATCTGTCTGAAGATATCCAGCAGAGAAGTAGCCCCCTACAACGGTCCCTTCTTTCAGTAATTCACACCCCTCGTTTTGCCCCCTAAGTTTCCAAGAGCACTGAAGGAACGTGGAGCTCACCCAACCCCTTTTCTGTGATGAGTCAGACACTCCTGTAAATAAAAACCAAACATCCGATGCTCTGAGGCCTTATGGAAATGAATGCCCTCACTTTGGGCATCCAGTTTTTCAGAACTGGATGCAAAAAACAGGCTGAATTTCCTTTACATCATCTCACAGCCCTGCTGGAAGCAAGATTTCCTTCCTCCAATCCCAAGTTCCAGAATGCAAGGGGAGAAAGCGAAAGCTGGAAGCTACTTACTGCGGGAGTGCTGGCCTGGGCCGTCGCCGCTTTCTGGGCTGATCTGGCTGCTCTAGGCTGGAAGAGCGCTCACCTACCTCTGCCCCCTTCCCCACCACAGTGAGCAGTTAAAGTGTCACTTAACATTCTGGAGAATGTGAAATATACCGCGCGGTGTCAACTCCCCAAAACCATAAAACTAACTTTATGGACCTCACGTGACTTTCTCGAGCCAGTGAGGGGTATCTGCCTGACTTCTCGGCGATTTTTACGATCTAACTTCGAGATAAAACCCCTATCCATTTGACATCTAAATGTCATAGCGACTTTTGGGATAGTTTGCTATGGACAAAGGGGGACAAAGTCAAGGGGTGAAGGGGAAAGAGGGCCCAGTAGAGCCTCCACGACCCTCGGCAGCCTCCTCACCAGCTCCCCTCCCCCCATATCCAGTAAGAAGTTGAGCCAAGCTGGAAGGGATTGACCGGGTAAGTGTCCAGACTTGACTCCGGTGCTCAGGGTGGAGGCTAACTTGGATGGAGGTGGACTGGGCCCTGGCCATGGGCTAGTCTGGCTGGAGGGGAAACTAGGGGTCTTTCAGGAAGTACCCCAATTCCTAATCAAGAAGGAAGATCAGTCGGCCCCTGCAAAGAAGGAGCCCTTGATAAGTGTAGAGAAGGCTGAGTGAGGGTGAGAAAAAACCTTTGAAATTGAGCTGATCTTTTTTTTCTTTTTGCCTTAGTGGCAGAATTGAATTGGGATTTGGAGCAGGGAGCTGGGCAGGCCTCATCCACTTCCAAAAGGCCAGGAGCCTCCTGCTCACTTAGGCCCAAATTATGTTCCCTAAAGAGTTTTCCAGAGGCTTTGCTAGCCAGCTGATGGAAGGCCAGGATGGAGTCCAGCTCAGCCTTTCCCATGCCCCAGCCCCACATGGGGTTTCTGGGCCCCTCAGTCCCCCAAGGATGAAGGCCTGTTCCCTGGCCCAAGCACTCTTGATCAAGCCAGGCACTTAGGTAGCTGAGAGTGGCTGCTGGGAAGCATCCTACTTTCCCTTCCCTATACCCCAGATCTATTGAAAATGGTCTAGAATGGTCTAGGGTGTCCCTAGTGATTGGACAGGCAGACCCCCCCATCCAGAAAAGACAAGTGGAAGGGCAGTGTGGTGGGGGAAACATTTATTTGACTTCAAGGAAAGCTACAAACAAATACCAAAAGCGAATCACTGAGACAGGCCCGGCAAAGACAGATTTCACATGTAGTACAGCATCCACTCGCTCACTACAAATGGTCTTGGAAGCGAAATGGGTAAAGAGGAAAAGATGGGTCTGATCTAGACTATTCCCATATTTACAAGCTTTGGGCCCTCTAGCCAGACCTATGGATTCACAGAGGAATACACAAGACACTTTACACTGAGGAGTATTTTTGTTTCCTTATACTCCCAGACCAGGCCTTGTGGGGCCTACCCAGGCAGCAGGAACTTAAATCTTACTGTTTTCCTCCCCTCTTCTCAGCATCACTCCTTTGGTCCTGCCTAGCCCCTTCTTACCCCAGGACCTAGCCCCTGGAAGACTTGGGCCTGGGAAGTGGGGAAAGGAGGAGGAAGAGGAGGGTGAAAAAGAGACACAGTCATGGACTCCATCTCCCAGGCCAGCTCAGCTGGGCCCCCAGACGCGGCACTACCCCACCTCCAACTGCCGCCCCTTAGAGAAGTTTCCAGCTGAAACTCAAAATACAGCAATTATCCTTTTATATAAATAAGTTAGAACACAGATGGGAAGGGGACAGTTCACATTAAACATGCGAATTTCTTTTTTCTTTTTCCCCTGGGGGAAGGATTGCAACCACAGACACGAACATTCAGAAACATTGGCGGATTTGGGACCATCAGAAGAGAGTGGGGAACATGGAGGGAAAATAATAATAATAATTATTAACAATAATAACAAGATAACCAGTCCAGGAGAGAGGGAGCCACAGGAAGACCTAAGACCAAACGAAAAATCGTAACACAAGGCCGGGGCAAGGCAGGCTTGTGGGAACCGGTCCCCAGCGGGCGGGCGGCTGCAGCGGGGAGGATTTAGAGGGGCTGGGACTGGGGTGACGCGGGCTCTTGGGCTGCCAGGGGCTCCTCTGGGCAGGCTCAGGGCTGGAAGGCGCTGCCGGCTGTAGCCAGGCTCATACTTTTCAGTTTGTTGTCCTTCTTCCACTTCATGCGTCGGTTCTGGAACCAGATCTTGATCTGGCGCTCGGACAGGCAGAGTGCGTGGGCGATCTCGATGCGCCGCCGCCGGGTCAGGTAGCGGTTAAAGTGAAACTCCTTCTCCAGCTCCAGTGTCTGGTAGCGTGTATACGCGGTCCGGGCCCTTTTCCCGTCTGGCCCGGTCATATCTGGAGCGGATAGAGTACAGCCGCAAGGCAACTGTTATTCCGGTTAAGGGAGGGGGCACTGGGTAGGAGGGGGTGGAGGGGGGGAGCAGGACCCAGGCGTCCCCAGCACCCAGCTCACCACAGCACCAATCCTCCCTACTCCAGATGCTGACACCCAAGCTGGATTTCTGCACCCCCTTCTCCTACAGCACCCACTTCTGCCGGCAGCGAATGCGCCCGGCTTTGTCTCTTGCTCCCTGCCAGAGCCTCACCCTTAGCTGGGCTCAGGCGGCCGCTCGCCCCGGGAGGGAGGAGAGAGGTTGCACTTTTGCCCTGGGAAGCTCATTTTACTGCTCTCCCCTTCTTTGCTAGCGGCAATCTTAAAATTTCAGGGGTAAGAAGGACCTTTCCCCATATTACATAAAACCTATCCTTCCTCGTGAAGCTGGTGCAGCTAAGAGAATAAAACCTAAGCCGAAGCTGGAAACAAATTATTAAAAATATCCCCCTCCCAGATAGAGACCCTGTTTGGCTCTGTCCACAAAGCCCTGAGGACCCTCTTAGAGACCTCTCCCTCTTGGAAAAATAAATCTGTATTTGAGGAAAAGCCAAGCTCTCCTTGCGCCCCCCCCCCCAATGCAGAGAAGGAAAGCTGAGAAGACAAAAAAGAGAGACAGAGAGAGAATTACCATGGCTGATGTGAAGCTTCCTCATCCAGGGGAATATCTGCGGAGTCTGCCCCTCGGGCGCGGCTGTGGAGGTGGCCATGGGTTCTGGCTGCGCCCGAGCTAGGCTTGGGCTGCTTAGCTGGCTTGCAGCTTCCTCAGGCTCCGAGGACGCGCTGGCCTCGTCTATTTCGGTGAAATTGGCGCTGGAGCTGGCCGGGGTCGCCTGGTCGGAGGGGGACGAAGCAGTGGGCTTGGCGCCGTGGCTGTCGCCGTTGGTGCAAGGCAGGGACTCGGGCGAGGACAGGGAGCAGCTCGACGCCGCTTGCCTGAAGCGGGGCTCCTGGGCTGGCGCGGGGAAGGCGCGCGAGCTCTCGCCCACCGCCCCAAAGTGGCTGGAGGAGGCCGAGGAGCGGTTGACGCTGAGGTCCATCCCATTGTAATTGTAGCCGTAAGAGCCGGTGTGCATGGCAGCGGGATCCCTGTAAGAGCCGCTCAGAGAGCTGCCACTGCCATAATTTAGCAACTGATAGTCCGGGCCATTTGGATAACGCCCCGAGAAGGAGTTTACAAAGTACGAGCTCATTTGGGTGATTTTGGAGGGCTTGATTTGTGGATCGTGGTCGTTATAACCCTGTGCTTCACGATTTATGATGTATTAATGAATTATAGCGATGCACTGTACTTCGTTTTGCTATGTATGCGGCCAAATATGGGGGGGGTTGGAAGGGGGATGGGGGGGCGTTAGGGAATCACGTGCTTTTGTTGACCAGTCGTAAATTCTCGCTGATGACCTCAAGAGGTAATTCATGCTCTATGGTTACAAATAATGACGATCCGAGAATCGTTAGGGCCGATTCAATGTGAGCCTCCAAGAGAGGGGGAAAGGGAGAAGGGGGAGAAACAAGGAGAAGGTTGGCGTTGGCCTCTGAGCAGAGCGCGCCACCTCCCGGCGATTGGCGGGAGCGCGGGCCCAAGACTTCTATGGCGGCGGCTCCAGCCTCCCTGCTGACTTCCCGCAACCGCCCGGAAAGAAAGAAACCCTGGCCGTGGCTCACCGTAGGGTTGAGCGTTTTAGAGGAGGAGGTTTAGCTTTTTACCCATTTCTTGGGGTTAGGGTTAGTTTGTGTCCTTCTCCCTATCATCATCATCAACATCATTATTTTAACTCTGGATTGAGACATGATCAAAGATTGAATTGCTTTTTCCTTTACTTGCGCTTTGCAAGTCTTCCAGTTGGGGCGGAAATGGGGGGAAGGGTTGGAAGTTGTGTGTGAAAAACAATTATTGCAATGGGTACTCCCCACCATCTCAACTGGGCCTGCTTCCTGACAAAATTGCAGAGGGCGATCCACAGCGCCCAGGCCGAACGCGAGCGAGCAGGGCTGAGCGAGCAGGGCTGAGCGAGAGGCTCGAAGAAGCAGCAGGAGAAGCTTTCACTTCTCCTGGGCCTAATGGAAGTTTGGAATGCTCTTCCTAGCCTCCTTCTTGTCCTTAGCCCAAGCCTCGGGGTATGGCAGAACAGTACAGGGACCCCAGAGAACAAGCACTGCTGAAGCTAAGCGGCCTACTTGCCGAAAAGATTGCAGCGGTTACCGCATCAACAGCGGCTTGGGTTTGGGTGGTAACGGCTGAGAGTTTGGGGTTAAAGCGAGATCCCTTGGCCTCCTGGTTATTCGGGAGCCCCACATGAGGTCCCTTGCTGGAGACTGGGCAGTTTGAGAATTTGTCGGGTGGCCAACCGCCTTCCGTGAGAAGGGGTTCCGAGGACAGCAGTCTTGCTGTGCGCGCTGGGCGGCGAGAGACCACCGCAGCTGGGCCCCTTCTGCCAGGCGGCTATTTTCTTTAAAAATAAAAAAGAGAGAGGGAGGGAGGAGGAAGAAAGGAAAACAGTGTCAGCAGCTTGCCACCTGGGTGCGGGTGGGAGCGGAGAGAGAATGGGCCATTTTGGGTTGAGAGGATGAGACCAAATGCCCCATCATCTGGCCTCGGCCCTCGGATCTCCAAGGAACGAGGGAGAAAGTCAAACCCTTCTACCAGTGCATGCTGGCGGCTTTACATTCCCCTAGTTGAGCTTCTCCTTAGGTAGGAAAGGGCACCTAGCTTTTTCAACTGCATGGTGGAGAGATACGCAGTGGCCCCATTTTCCAGTCTCCAGAGCCACTGACCACAAGCTTAGGGCCAGGACTGGAGGAGACCTGGCCATGTGGGAATGCCCAAAGCCAGGTGCCTCAGCAACCATGAGGATAGAAAATCCTGCAGAGGTGCCTAGGCTCTCCAGGCTCAGTCTTTGCAGGGGCTCTGGGATAGAGGACCTTTGGTGGCCTCCCTCAGTGCTGTGGACAAACAAGGAAAGGCTGGAGAATAACGTTCCCTTTCTGTCTCGTCTCCGAAGTCTGCAGGGGGAGAGGCAGTTGTGAGCCTCAGCACTGTCCAGGCCCAGCTCTGGGGCCTGGAAGGGACTGATCCCTCCAGCCTTTATCTCAATTGTAACTTCCAAATTGAGTGGAGCGCACTGGGGAAGTCCTAGGCTGCCCAGGGCTCCCACCATAAGACACAGAGTGGGTGGGGGAACAATGAGAGGGGAGAGAAGAAAAAAAATGGCAGGGGAGGATTGGAGGTTGACTGGAGTGGCAAGTTTTCACGTCTTTATTATTATTATCATCATTATTAATAATATTAATATTATTACTGAAGTATTTCACGTCCAGAGCTAAGACAAGACTACAAACACAACACATAGAAAATTAATAAAATAGAACTTTGTTTTCTTCTGAGGCTCCTCTTCTTAAATTCTAGGTAGTATGTGCTCCTTCCAGTGGCTTTGGGGAGGGAGTGGGAGAGACGACAGGTCTGGGGTCAGGGAGTCTTCGAGGCCCCCGTTGGGGGACAGCGAATCTACCTTTGAACCGTGCACAGGGACATGGACGAAATGAGACGCGACACGAACAAGAGCACTTTGCTCTGCTTCCAGGAAACATCAAGTGAGTCCTATCCTCTGTTCTCACAGGGAGCCTGGTCCGGCCGAGCGGGTTTCTCAGGGAGGAAGGGGGGTCGTGGGGTGCTGGGTGACTCGGGGCACAGCCTCCAAGCACCCGCCAAGAGCTCTGCGGGCAGAGGCGTCCAGGACAGCGCTGGGCCCCGTCTGTCTTGAGCTGGAAAGCAGTTCTCTGGGCTCCTCCGCCCGCAGAGCCTTCTTGGGGCTCTCCAACGCCCTAGGCTCCCTACAGGCCTCTCCCTTCGCAGCCCCCTCCCTTTCCAACACCTTCACTCGGCTGGTTTTTCTTCCTCCTCCTCGGCACTGAGCTGAGACGCGCTGAGCAGTTTGCTCTCCTTTTTCCACTTCATGCGGCGGTTCTGGAACCAGATCTTTATCTGCCTCTCGGTCAGGCACAGGGCGTGCGCTATCTCGATGCGCCGCCGCCGCGTCAGGTAGCGATTGTAGTGAAACTCCTTCTCCAGCTCCAGCGTCTGGTAGCGCGTGTAGGTCTGGCGGCCTCGCCGGCCGCTGGGCCCAAAGGAAGAACCTGTTACGCAGAGTGGAGACGCTGAGGCCTCGGGTCACAGTGCCCAGAGCTCTCCTCCCCCTCTCGACCCTCAAACAAGGACTTCTAGACGTCCCGGGTTACCCTCCACTCTCACTGTTCCGTGTCCCCCTTTTCCACTCCTCCAGCGCCCCCTCCAGATTCCCTCCTGATCTCCTAGGCGAGTGCTTTCTATCTAGACTCTCTGGGGGGGAAGGGAGGAGCAGTTTGAACTCCCACCTGAGCCTGGGGGGAGGGGCTGGCCAGGTGTGTCTCTTTCTAGCGGTATCTTTTCTTTCTTTCCCTTTCCATCCATCTAGGCCCCCGCCCCCGCCCACCCAATGATAGATTCAGGCCCTTAATCTGTAATGACGTGAATCGATCTATAGTCCACATTAACGGCTCCTCACTTTGGTGTCCCGCTAATGGACATCAATTGGGATTTAAGGCGGACAAATACTCCAACCAGAGACCCAGGCGCCTGTTTCTCTTTCTCCCCCCTCCATCTGCTCCCTTTCTCTTTCTATCCCTATTCTCCCTCTCTTCTCTGACTACCACCCGTTTCCTAGTGCCTCTCCTTTCCCCAGCTTCCCACCTTAAGGGATACACAGTCCCAGACAGACCAACCCTCCCTCCCAGAGTCACATCCCCCCACCATGACGCGCTCAGTTTTTGATGGAGCCTTCTTTAGGTGGGGGACCCACCAGAGCAAGGGGGCCCAAAGGAAAGCAAAGTCAGTGACTGTGGCCCCTGCTTCTTTTCTGGACCTGGACTCTGACCTGGTGCCGCACCGGAGCCCACTTACTCCCCCTGGCTCCCAGTGTAGCTGGGACTTTGCAAACTTTGTAATTCCTGCAAACCCGAGGACAGAGCGGGGAGACCCCATGCAGGCGCCTAATCTTCCCCTGTCTCCTAACTGCAAAGCCCACCTAGCACCCTGTGGGATAATGGGGGGGAGTCTCGCTGGTTGTCTCCGGTGTTGGGGAACCTAGGGTCGGACCGGCAGCGGAAAGTGTCACTCACTGTTGCACGAATTCATCCGCTGCATCCACGGGTACACTGGAGTGGAACACTTCTGCTCCTCGGTCTCGCCGAACACGCTCTTGTCCTGCGCGCAGTCCGACTTCCGCGGCTCAGGGTGGAACGGGGGAGGCTCGTCGGCGCCTGAGAGCGCGCAGGCCGACTCCTTCTCGCGGTAGAAGGCCGGCGCCGGCCCGTAGTCGCAAGGCGCCGCTCGGCCGTAGCCACTGCCGGCTGGCGGGTAATAGGAGGAAGTGGCAAAGCTCTTGTCCTGGCCCGGCCCGGGCCCATAGGGCGCCGGGTAGTGCCTCAGCGGGTCCGCATAGCCGGAAGAGTAGAGCGGTAGCTGGCCCAGGAAGGACTCTTGCCCGCTGGCCAGAGTGACAGGGAAGGTGGAGTTCACGAAATAGGAACTCATTGGGAGGGGAGGCGCGCGCGGCCGCTGCTGCTCCGCCGGGTTTATGATTTGTTGTGTTTTATAGTCTGAGCGCCGCGCCTATTAGTAGTATATCCGAGATTGGGTTTTAGCTGAGGGGGGATGGCGAGGTGCCAGTGAGGGCCAGAAGGAAATACAACCATCTGATCCAACACTGACCAATGGCAGAGGCAGGAATTGTCAAATAGCACCCTGGAGGAGCGCAGCCCGCACGAGGGACCCGCGCACAAACCTATCAACCTTTTTTTCCCTCCTTCTCCTTCTCCTTTCTCTCTTCCCCCTCCCCCCCCAACAACACAACGCGTCCTGTTCCACCTACATAGAACCTGCAAAGACGGGCTGTGCCTTTGAGGGAGGAAGGAGCATTTGGATTGAGACCACCTCATCTCCCAGTGATTAAATAAATATATGCCTCCCCTCACCCCACGAAGGATAGGAAAAAGTTAATTGTGTTTTCAGAAAAGTTAACCCCTGCGTTACTTGGGCTCTTTGCCTCTGGGAGGGGTGGATAAATGTTCCCGAATCTCCTTTAGAGAGGACTAAAGGAGATGTGTAGTGTTGGGAGAAGGTGATCAGAGTTCTCTGATTTTTGCACCATTTCAGAAAGAGAAGCGAAGAAGAAACACCCTCCTTCCCAGGTTTTGAAAATCATTTCTTCCTGTTTATCAGATCTGCTCTCTCTCCTCTAAGCCTGGGTTTATTATTCCTGCTTCTCCACAACTCTTATGGTCTGAGGGCACCTATCAGATCCTACCACCTGAAAGACCCAGAAGAGGGGAAAATGGCAGAAGGTCCTGAGCCCCAGTTTCCCCTCTGGCTCTGCACCAGGCTAGGAGCTTCTTGAAAGGCTGTGGCTGCTGCTGCCCAACATCTCACCTGGTTCTAGTAAGCAGCTGCACCCTCTTGGCAGGGGACGAGGCACTGGGGGAAAGGACTTGCCCTCTCCTCACTTGGGAATACAAAGAGTGAGGGATAGTCTTCAGCCTATGTGGCTTTATTTGTCTGATCCCCATCCTGCCTGCAACCCTCACTCCAGTAGCCCCTGGATACTCCAAAAGGCATTAAAAATATCCTGGGCTCAGATTTGTAGAAATCAAGAATCCTCAAGTAAATCTGGGCACATAGAAGAAATTGTTCCTCTTGCAGTTGTGAGTCTCCAAATCCTCCTGATTTTTAAGGCAATCAGAGGACCACCAGAAAAGAGGAGTCCTTTCCCCTTTTCCAGGTCTCTCTAGAAGCTGGCAGTTCTTTTTAAAATTAATTCTTTCCCAGGACTTGGTCTTGCTTTAGTTTTATAAGGAGGAAGGTGTTCCAATCCTCCTGGGGACTCAGCAGGCAGTTTCAAACCATCAGCCTACATCCCCTTCTACTTTCTGTCTCTCAGGATCTGTACAATTCCCTCCCACACCGCATGTTTGGATCATCAACTTTGCTCCCTTTCAAGCTTGGGTGTGAGAGTGTATGTCTCTGGCTCTATCATCCAAGGAAAATGAGCATGGAGCACAGGGTGGGAGACAGGACCACAATGCACAGGCCATCCAGTGAAGGTTGACAATATTCCAACCTGGGAACAGGAAGGGGGCACAATGTGGGACAAAGTCTGATGTCTGGCCAGACTGACCCTCCTCTGCCTTGTCCTCAGGGCTCCCTTTTATGACTTAGATCTGCCCACTGGAGATGGTGCAAGACACTAGAGAAGGTGGTACAGGGCTGAGGTTGAGTGACCAAGGGTGAGAACTTAATTGGTTGCAAAATAGTCTCCAAGGCTCTCTGAACTCAGGGCGACTTCTAGACTGAACCTTCATGGCAAAGTGGCCATCCTGGATTTCCCTCCAATCACTTCCAAGCCAGATTCCACTGGGGGATGGGGGTTGATGAGAATTTAAGAGAAGTAATTCAAAACCTCTAAAAATGAAGAAATGTTAATGTCCCAAATCTAGCTATGATTGGGCTCACTCTTAGAGAGGAGTAGGGGCTATATTAACAAGATGGGGAAAGAGTCATTGCATGCACCTCCCTCCACCCTGACACTAAGACTGAGCTCTGGGCCTCAGTCTTCTCTGCCCCCCTTGCTGGTCACAATGTCCTCATCCTAGCACTGGGGAGTATGGTTCGTCCGCCCTCGCCCCCCAGAGTCTGGGCAAAGTAAGATGCAGTGAGGAAGGGAGCCTTTCCCTGTGCTAGAGGCAGGAAAATAATTGCCTTATTCTTAGAATCACAACTGCCAAATTAACCTCACCTCTGCAGGTTGCCTGTTGGGAAATGGAGCCACTATTCGAGGGCCTGCCAGGGCGCCTGGAGTCGGGCATGAAAGGAAATAGCGCCTCATCGCTCTTATCTAAGCTCAGAGGTATTTATGAGCGTTTATTCATCTGATCCGTTTGTTTGGGAAAAAGAACAGGCAGGGAGAGCGGGCCAGAGACCGCCTGGTTTCTGGAGCCAGATCTGTTCGAATCTGTCTGTGTCTCAGTCCACCTCTGTCTGTCTCTGGGTGAATATGTAAATACACAGCAGGCACAGCCTTCTGCTAGTTTGGGGTGTCTTTCCCTGCCTCAAGGAGGAAGTGTGTGTTCAGAGCAGTAGATAGAAAGGTGTACCAACTCGTGAGTACATAACAGAGGTATTGTACAGATACACCACAGGCAGGATTTATAATTGTAATTTTCTCGGTTGTGAATCTGCAGTCCTGTGGGCAACCACACACATTCTAGCTCCCAGGAAAATGTTTCTTAAGTTGTGTTCAGTTCAGAAGTAAAATTCTTCTTGAAGGGTAACCTCAGGGAGGAGTATTTGCCTATATGTATGTGTGGTGGTGGGGTGAGTAGGGATTGAGACATTGTCCAGGCTTTCCATTTCCTCTAAGCTACCCGCCCCCCAAGCCTCCCAAAGCCAACTCTTTGGATTCTAGGCACCTTCACCTATTCCCAGCTTTGGCTGGGATGGTTCAGATGAAAACATATCAACCCAGTTTTCTCACTAGACTTGGATTCTCTGGGCTTGGGGAACGTAAATGTTCCCAGAGGTACCCCTGTGCTTCCTTCCATAAGCTTGGAGGAGGCTCTTTACACGAAACACTTTGTCCTAAAATTGGCCTGTCCAAATTGAGTTACAAGACCGCATTTCCATTATGCAAATGAGCGCCATCCTCTCTGATCTTGGGGTGTGGGGGCGATGGCTCGCTCGGTTTGCCCCCCCTCACAGGTCCACAGGCACCCTAATAGCCCTGAAGGGTTTCAATCCCACAGCCCGACTTCCTCACCCTACCTGTCTTTCAGATTGCTCAAAAGAATAAAATCTCCTAAGGGCCCAAGCCTTCCATGTTGTCTTCCTCGAGGCTCCCCGAAGACCCAACTCACTGAGCTGAGCCTTCTAGCCTTCTAGCAGTCAGAAAGTCACTCCGCCGCGGAAGAGCTGAAAGAGCTGCTCCAGAGGCCCAACCTCAAGAGGCGCCGAGGGCGCGGGGGAGGGGGGCAGGGCAGGGTGCCCCGCAACCGCAGCGTTTGCCCCCAGTACTGCTAGGCCCCTTGACCTCGATAGCTTCGTTAGCTCCGGGCCAGACCCTAGCAACACCTCGGCTTGCTTGGCACCGGAGGCAATTTCCTGGAACACCCCCCCTCGCCAGGAATTAGGGCCACAGTACCTTTAAAGGAGAGGCCAGAGCTTCCTCCTGAGACTTGAAAGCCCGAGCTAATCAGTAACCCGCGAGACAGGGGCCAATATTCAAACGCCGCAGCAGAGGCTCGCACCCCGGCTCTCGCCACCCCCTTCTGACAAAGCGGGCGCGTTAAGTGGGTGGAGGGGTGCCGCAGGAACGGAAATTATGGTGGGTTCCTTAATGATTTAGCCCCAGTCCCACTCCCGATTTCCCCCCAAAGCATATTTGCGTCGATTTCGCTAGAAACGATCGAGAATGGGGGAGGGGATAGACACTTGAGACACCTTCAGTTTCCAGAAAACTCAGTTCAATTCCTTCACCACGGACCCACCAGCCAAGGAACTGGCAAGACCAACCAGCCAACCGGGAAAACACAGACCCGGCTTGTCTTTTGACAACCGAGTGGAACTGCCTGGGCCGGCGCCTTCCCCTCCGGCCCCTTCCTTTGGCTGAGAAGAAAACCAAATAAACCTTGAACAGCCTTGGCCTCGCATCTCTCCAGCGGCCGGATCTTCTCCCGCGCCTTGGTGGGGCGGAGGAGATCGTGATGGTGGGGGTGTTGATGGGTCTGTTCTGCCCTCAACCCCTTGGTTTAGGGCCCCCTGCCCACTGAATGTAGCATTAGTCCTCTTTAAATACGCCCTGGGAAAAGCTGCTTCCCCTGTTAGCCACCAAGTTTGGGGCCGGGATGGGCGGGAGACAGCGGGGAGTATGACATTGGGAATGGTGGACTGGGGAGAAATTTGTTCCATTCTCTAATCCACACCCGGGAACCAAGATCCAGCAGGGAGCGTCGGTGTGAGCCGGTTATTTCCCGAATCTTCTGTGCCTGGGGCTTCAGGCGTCCAGCACTGCACTAGCAGTGTCTTGGGGCTTGCGGAGCCAAAACCGCGTGTCTTCGAACGGACGGTAGATGGCAGCAAACCGCATAATTTGGGTCAGAGCAAACTGTCTTAGGGAGGATTTATAACCCGCCAAGACTACTGGAGAAAAAGACCTTTAGGATGGGTGGGTTTGGGGGAATTTTTCCTTGGAGGCTAGGCCCGAGTGCCTTGGGTGTTGGCGGAGAACGTCTCTAGCTATTAAGCCAAGTGATCCCTCTGGTGCCCAGTCTGGGCCTGTGCCTAGGACATCTACCTGCGCCCCCAGGAGCTCCCCTCCCGTGCCACAAGTGGCTGCCGTCCGTTTCTCTCTTGAGAGAGCTAATATACACCCCCTCTACACGCCCCAGGCTCCTCTGTTCACGGGCAACCAGAGGCCCGAGAATGAACGCCCTGCATTTGGTCTTAAGAAAGAGAAAAGCAATCACCTATTCATGCAGACAAAACTAAATCACAGTCTCTCCTGCCCTCCTCGCCTAATGTCACTTATCTCTGGGCTAGAAGCTTCCCCAGAAGCTCTGTCACCCCACTTTTAAGTCCTTGCCTCAAGGCTTGTGCCTTCTTCCACCCCACCAGCTAATTTTGGAATCTATCTCCCACCCAAAGGTTGTCACCTCTCCCCTTCCCCAGGAGACCTGACTGGGCGGGGTGGGGTGGGGGGATGGGGGTGGTGGTGAAATCTGGGCGCCTGAGGTACAGGACTAGCTGGTTGTCCAGGCTCAGCACCAGTCTAGGCTTTCCAGTTCAAATACCATCAAGTCCCATAACTAGGTTTTCTTTTTATTTTCTTCTTTCTTTTCTTTCTGTTTTGTTTTGTTTACAAGTTTAAAACAACAACAGGCTAAATATCTTCTTCACAATCACCACGTTTGGATCCAGGAAAGTTTGACATGTTTCCACATCAGACACACACACGACAATTTTCTCCTCCACCGAAATCCACACGACCCATACCAGTACAACACAAGTAAGGAGAGTCAATATAGTACAGAAACCAGCACGCTGTGACCTACCGCGTTAAAACCACAAAACTGTCTCCCTGCAGAGCGAAGCTCCTTCCTGTGGGAGTGGCGAGAGACCTGGGCATTCTCGGGCAGGCTTCCTGGGGGGGTGGTGGTCTCCCTCTCTTTGGGTGCTTCCACCCACAGCCTTTTAATTTTAGAAATGTCACCAAAGACAGTGAACACTTTTCTGTGAATTGTTCTTTCTCTGTCTCTCTAGCTGCTTCCTTGCCCTGGCCGGCCTCTGCGGAGATTCCAGGCCCTACAGAGACCAGGACATCCCTTAGCGCCACCGCCCCAAATGCCAATGCTGCCGGGAAACCGCCGACATCCGCACCAGGCAAGAGAATTCCAGCGCGGGAGCAATTGGGAGAGGACAGAGCAAGGAAGGAATGATAGGAGGGAGGGGGCAAACCCACAGAAGCCATAGCGACTGGCTTCTTCGGGTGCAGTAGAAGCCAGACACCCCCATCCTCTCCTTTTCAGTCCCCCTGTTTGAGCCTCTCCTCCAAGCTTAAAAAGACGACTTAGAGCTAGCCTCGTTGCCCCTTTCTGTTCTTCCTCCCATCTTCTCTGCCTGGGCTTCCCCTCCAGGAAGCAGCCACCCCTCTCTCGCTACCGAATTTCCTGGGAAGCCTCTCCCTGCAGCGCCCAGAGGTGGGGTTCAGCCCCGGCTTGGAGCAGGGGGGAGGAGGGAGAAAACCCCAAGCCCCACCCCCTACAAAAGCCATGCAAACGAACAAGAAGAAAATTGTAGAGTCTCCCTTACCTTTGCAGATCTTGAGATTTTTTTCTCCTCCGTATAGAAAGGGAAGGGAAGGGCGGGGGAGAAAGGAGCGTTCAGTTTCTTCTTCAGCTTCCAGATAATATTGTCCCAACCTGAGAGCCGTCGCTTCCCCTTCTCTGACTTGGGAGAGAGGGTGTTTCGCTTTTCTGACATTTGCATAGAAAATGGAGTAAGTTCTGGCTTTGAAAAATGATATCAGGCTGCAGTCCTGGGCAGATTGTCCATTTACCCTCCATGATGACTGAAATCCCAGATCAGCAAGCAAATTAACTTAGAAATCAAAATTATTTTTGGTTCTCTTTTGTGTAATTCCCACCCCTCCTTCTCTCTCTCTTTTCTGTTTTCTCCCCCCCTCTCTTCCTCTCTCTCCTTTGCTCTATTGAGCTGATATTGAAGTATAAAAATATCAAGAGGCTGGAGCCCTGAAGGACGACAGTGCTCCGACCTAGGTGTGGTGTCCAAAAGAATGCTGCATTATAACCACCAGGGAAATGATAAAAAGTTCATGTTCACGATCGCCTGGCCACATGACCGGCGCTGGCCAATCGCTGTATTCAACCACTCATAAACTTCTATCACAAAGTTGTAAATTTTCATAAAACAACAAGGAATTTATTGCATTTCTTCATGGCTGCTCCACCAGCAACCCTTTTCTCAGTCGCCATCTTCTTTTCTTCTCCTTCTCTCTTTTTGGGGAAACCCTAATATGAACAGGGGTGAGATTTTGGGGGCAGGGAATCAGAGTGGGGAAGCCACACAAAACCAGCTGAGAAGGGGGTTCTTTTCTGAACATCCTTATTTTCCATAGGAACACTGCCAGTTCTAGTAAAAATTCACCCTAAATCCTCCCGATAGGGACTGTTGTAAGGCAATGGGGGGGGGGCAATAGTGGTTTCTAGAGTTGCCATCTGAACCAAGGCAAAATGAAAGCTCCAGTGTCCTCCCTCCCCCTCTGTATAGGCTCCTTCGTCCCTAGCCTTAGAAATGGCAAGACCCCCACCTGTGTGGCTTGCAGCACTGCGGGTTTAGGGGCCTTAGATCCTCTAAGGCTAGTATTTTGCCCCAGGAGGAAAAGTGGCCTGGATGGGGGCCAAGGCAGATAGTATAACACCAACCAATTCTTGTCTCTGCACCCCAGAAACTGGGGGAGGGCAAAGCCAAATCCCAGCCTCTCCCACCCCAAAGCAGAAAGTCTAGGTTCTGTAAGGCAGCCCGATGCGCTCTCCAGGGGGTTCTCTGATCCTTAATGGGGGAAACTATAGGTTTTGGAGCCTTTTTCTTACAAATTCAAATGAAACAGATTCTCCTAAAACCAACCCTCCCCCCTTTTATGTACGATGTCTGTTCTTTACATTTAAACATTCCAGGGTTTATAATCGAATTTATACTAAAAATCAATCCCGCAGGTCTAGCTGCCTAGACACAATCTTTCGGGTTTTGTCTCACAATCTGGGGGGGGGGGGTTTGGAACAAAAAATAAAATTAAAAAATCGGCCCATGTTTCCTAGGTCCCCTGAAACACCCAATATTTTGAGTTGAGCGGTTAGTATCCAAATGCAGTAAACGAAATAATGTCCCCAAAATACTTTTTTCTTTTTTTCCTTTCTCTCTCTGTTGCTCCGGAGTAGGTTCCAGATTGCCGGCGGCACGGAGAAGGAGCAGAAAGTCCTCCTGGAGGAAGTCCCCGGCGGGCGGCGCGGTCAGGCTCAGAGCGGCGGGCGTGCTGCCACACTAGCCTGGTAAATTCGCACCGCTCAGGCTCTTTCTTCCAGACCCATTCTCCGCCCCACCATTGTTAAATTTTATTTGGGTTACCTGTGTCAATTTAGAATGAGACAAATTAATACAAATGAAAATAAAATAAATTGAAATAAGAAAGGGACAGCTCTTGCCGAAAATATTTGCCACACAAGCGAGAAACCCTGAGCGAGTGCCTGACGTTGGAGGCTGTTCCCCGCCAACTGCGAGGCCTCTACTCACCGACCTGGCCTCTATCCAATGCCAGTCAAGAAGCCAAAATGAATTTGGGTGTTCACTTTCCCTTTCCCTCCACTTTTCCTTCCCATGCGGCCTACCATTTTGGATTTCAGCTCTGTGTTTGTGTTGGGCTGCTGCCCAAATCCTACAGCCTGGTTTCAAGGCCTGAATGAGGAATAGGGTTTATGGAACTATGAGATTTTAATATTTTGTTTTATTATGTTTTGTGAGTGTGTGTGATTGAGCATGGAGGTTCATGGGTGTGTTTACTTGGGAGCAAATGTGTATCGCGTGTTTATAAGCCAATGTGTGCATATACATTGATATATATCAATGTGTCTGAGAGTGAGTGTGAATATGTGTTTACTTGTGAGTGTGTGTGAATATGAATGCATATTTTCTGGGCATAGAGTTGAGATTATGTGAATGCCTTTATGTTTATTTATGAACATATAAATTTAGGAACATGTATATGACAGTGTGTATAATCATGTATGTTAGCCTGCAAATAAATGTGTGACTGTGAGCATTTGTGTATGTATACATAAAGTGTAAAGGAAATGCATGCATGTAGTATTGGGGTTCACTGGGTGGCAGCTCCTCAGAGCTGGGAGTACCAGGAAAAAGAGCAGACCCAACACAGAAACAAGTTCATAGAAGTCAGAGCAGAGGGGCTCTGGGATGCCTACCCACCCTTAACCATCATACCCTCCCATCTTGAGGGAGACACAGGAAATAAGGTATCTGTTTATTTTTAATTGAGTTTTATTTTTCTATCCTTTAGATACACACAGATTGTGAAGAGGAGCATGGGATGGGGATGGGGATCTGGCGGGAGCAGGGAGCATCTGGCTGGCACTGGGGGGAATACCCTAGTCGCTGGGGGAAACACCCTAGTTGGTGGGTCCTTGGAGCTCCCTAAGGTCCCTTTGGTGCCACTACTGGGAAGGTGGAGGTTCAGGAGGGCAAGGAACCATGGGCACTAGTCCAGACCAAAAGTCCACAAAGACAGCATGAAAGGGGGCTTACAAAACAGCAAGATTTTACAAAGACCTTACAATCGCAACATAGAAAACAGGAGGCAAATTCCAGAAAGCTACAGAACAGGTACATTATGTCCTTCTCGTACAAAACAAACCCAACAGACTTTCTATAGGTAGTATTTTTTTTCAGTGTTGAGAAAACAAAATTTCACCTTTCTCTCTCCTTAAAAACATTTTTTAATTGCTTTAATTTAAATAATGTTTTTCTTCCCTACTTGACTTGAGTTTCCTGGTTCAGTTCCCAGAGCTGGGATTCATAATCATATTCTTTCTCTTCTCTTTCTTTCCCTCTGCCCTTTCTCTTTCTCTCACTCTTCCTCTTCCTCCTCTGCTTCTGCCTTGTCCTGGCTGGTGGTTCCAGGGCCCGCGTTCTTATTTTCCTTTTTCCACTTCATGCGCCGATTCTGAAACCAAATCTTGATCTGTCTTTCTGTGAGGCAGAGCGCGTGCGCGATCTCGATGCGCCGCCGCCGCGTCAGGTAGCGGTTGTAGTGAAATTCTTTCTCCAGCTCCAGGGTCTGGTAGCGGGTATAGGTCTGGCGGCCTCTCTTGCGGTCAGTTCCTGCAAATTGTGTTTAGAGGAGAAAAATCAGTGACCAGGGAAACCTCCAAGAGTGCCCACCTCCCTCTTAGACCCTGTGTGTAAAGTCTGTGGACAGAAATCCATTTTCCCATTAAACTAAATTCTCATTTTCCATACTGCAGCCCATAATCTTTGTTTCCCATTCCCCTAAATGTGCAGAACATTCTACAAGTCTCCCAAAGTAGACATTTCTATTTTCTATCCAAGAAGCTTGGAGCTTCTGAACCCAGAGGATCTAACCTTCTGGTTCCTGAAAGTTCTGCTACTAATGGGTATGTGTAGGATGAGGGAGGTTAATCGTCCTTTCACTTTCTGAGATTAGGGACTCTAGGCCTCTGATTATAATTCTTTGAGGTAGAGGACAATGGAAACCATGCAAGTGGCCCTGGAGTGGGGCTCCAGGCCTACCCTGAGAAAGTTTCTCAAGAAGAAAAGGAGACAAAGGGATCTCACAGGCTCAGTTTCCCCTCCATTCTGTTGCAGAATGAGGTGAGAATTTGCAGATTTCCTTGGAACATGGACTTAGTCTGAGAGCAGCTGCCCTCTGATGATTCTTTTCCAGTGATTGTCTGAGGCTTTGCTGGGGCCAAGCTGTCCTGCCTGTCTGCTTGCCTAGATAACCCAGCTCTCCAAAGCAATCTTTGGGCCTCCCAGAAAGCACAGGGGAAGAGGAGAAAAAACTGTCTGAGTTAGGACAGAATATGGAATATCTGGATGGTGAGGGCTGAAGGGCAGAGAGGAACTTCCCAGGTTAGGCCCAGAACCTGAAGAGACTTGGGAAAGGTGTTGATGTCAGCCCTCCTGGGAAGGAGACACAGGAGAGGAGGGGCCTAGTTTCAAGTCAGATAAAAGCTAAGCTGAAATGTTTATGAGCAGAAAAAGTGGAGCTTTGATAAATCAACTGGAAAGGAAGTTGAATTATGGAGCAGGTAATGGGGACTGTGACCACCAATACTAATAGTCTAAGAACTATCTGTGTTCCTCCTGGCCCCCCCCTCACTGGGATGGATGCCTCTGACCACAATTCTTGGACCTTCTGGACATTGGGGCTAGCCCTCAAGTTCATCTGTCTTGGGACAGCACTAAAAAGGATGTGTAAACAAGACTGGCAGAAGACCCAGGGAACCCTTGACTTCTTGGGGTTCCTTCATCAGCTGGCTGGGTGACCTGCACTCTCTAAGTCTTGATTTAGCCCCAAGGAGTCCTGGCCCCTCCCTCAAGAGGAGATTCACCCTTCTAGAGTGACACCTCCAAACTTGTTGGCCAGTTCTCTGGGGGGTATATAGGAGCCCTAGGGAGGGCACCTGAGGAAGCCAGCTGTACTCCCACCAGGCCTCCTATCTTTTCTCTAGTTCAGTAGGGGGTTGAAGCCTCATCTCTCTTGGCCTCAACCCCCTCCCTGCACCTGCCTCTCTGGCTCTGCGTCCCTGGCTAGGTCCTCATCTCTCCCCCAAGCCTCTAGAGCTCATTTCTAATTGTCTTGTCGGGAATAATGGGGGAGTGGGGTTGGCTGAGAAGGAAGGGGGAGGGGAGAATTGCTTAGCGCTATGCCTCCTCCCCCATACCTTATCCTAGCTGGGGCTGGGGGACACACCCAGAACTGAGATCCCAGGCGGGGAAGGGGGGATAGAAGGGGGATAACCTAATGGCTGTTCTCTGTAAACCCCAGCCTTCCTCCACAAGACAAACGGCCTCATCTCCAGCCTGTGCCGGCGCTGCTGATAAATATTTAAAGCTAAAAGGCCGGGAGGAGAGTGGGGGCGAGATGGGGGCTCGGAGGAGCGTCGCGGCGTCAGCGAAGATAGATCCGCCGGGAAGCAGAGCCGGCCTGAGAGCACCCTGCAAATATGAGGGTGGGGGCAGTGCGCTGCGTTTCAGCCAGAGGGATGCCGAGTCCCCAGAGCTAACCTCAGGCCAGGAGCACTCTAGACGCGGAAAAGGGTGCCCGGCCAGAAAGCGGGGGCGCCTTCCAGGGAATGTGCCGGCCCGCTGGGGCTCGGGACAGCTTGGTGCGCGGCGTTACCTGAGCTTCGCATCCAGGGGTAGATCCGGAAGTTACTCTCGGCGGCCAAATCTGAGTCCCTCTGCTCCTTGGCGCCTGCCGCCTTGGCGGAGTCGCCCGGACACACCCCGGAGAGGTTCTGTTCAAAGGGCGCGCAGTGCATGTTGAAGGAACTCGGCTCGAGCCCGTAGCCGGCCGCGTAGACGCCGGCGGCACTCTGGCCCGCCATGCCCCCCCCGCCGGGATACAAGCCCTGCATCGAGGCGGCGAAGGAAGCGCTCGAACCGGTTCCATAGCCCGGGCGCTGGGGGTTGGAAGCAAACGCACAAGAAGTTTGTTCGGGGAAGGCTCCGGTAGCGAAAACCGAACTTGCGGCTGGATATTTAGAAAATAAAGCATTCGCATAATACAATGAACTCATAATTTGGCCGGATGATTTGTAGGCAGGGACGTTTTAGTGTCGGTTTTACGAGATTCCTTGATATATTACAGAATTAGAGTACAGATTTACACCAAAAAGGACCCCCTTTTTCCTCTCCAGAACACGTGACGCCAGTCCACGTGACGTCCCCTCCTCCAATGGCCCAGCAGCTTCCCTACGGCTCCTGGTAATGTGGAAAAAATTGTGTGGCGTTGGATTTATAAAATATGATCAATAATGAATGGGAAAGCCGAGCCCTGTGGATTGGGGGTGGGGGCTCAAGGGCCGCTGCCGACCCCTGCGGGCTGGAGGCAGCTTGCAGGCGAGATTTGGGGAGAAAGGGATTGGGTGGAAGGGAAAATAAATAACCTCTCAGCGATCCGTGTTGTCACCCTCCACCCATCCTTTCCAATCCGTTACCGACAGAGTGCGAGACAAACGCAGGAATTGAATGCACGCAATTGGGTTGGTTGGTGGGTGGTGAGTGGGGAAGGTCAGTCTTTATTAATCCGGGCCAATTCAACACAGCCTTTGGGTGAAGTTGGTCCGGTTCTCCTAAGGCGAGGAAAGAGGTAAACCTGGGTTCATGGCTCTCTCGGTGCCCCAGATAAATGCGCAGAGATGGAGTGAGACATCATAGTTGCTCCTAAAGCACAGGATCCAGCCCGTGGTCATTGAATGCTGCAGTTTCTGGTGGCTAAAAAAAGGTTTGAAAGTAAAAAGAAGGAGTGGGGGGAGGTTGATTGAGTGGATAGGGTGGTTGGAGGTGGGTAGAGAGAGGAAGGAAGGGTAGAGGGCGGCCTAGGCAAGCTGCTCTCCTGGTTCCTGGATGCGTCAGTGAGCGTTGGATAGGCCTTAGAGCTGGGTAAAGGTGACCAAATCCCAGAGAGGGAGAGGCGGGGAAGAACGTCTCCATTCTCCTCTTGCTCTCTTCATCAGTGTTGGAGAAAAATAAAAATATAAGCAAGCTCATCATCCTTGAGCTCTACCTTTATCCCTTACCCCTCCCGCACCCCCCCCCACATAAGACACACACCAAAACAAAGAGGGAGGTGGAAGGGATACAGCCACCAGCCTAGGAGAATCTCTCCAGCGTGGCCTGGGTGCCTCGGGTCGGCAGGTCCCAGCAGCCTCGGAACGCAAGGGGAGGGGGTTTCTCTTGGCTCCTCTCCCTCATTTTTCTCTCCTCCAATCACACGCAGTCGCCTCCCTCACCCCCTGAGTCCCTGGGCCAAGGGACTCACACCACCTGCCTCCAGCCCCCGCCCCCTCCTCTCTAGGCTAGAGGCCTAGCCTCTGCAGGCTCAGGAGCCGGGTGACAGGCTCCCCCCACCCCAGCTCTGCAAGGCGCCCAGGAGCAAATGAGCGCGGGCTTGGCCAGTCTCGGGTTCTTGCTTGTAAACTTTATTGTAACTCTTCCGCCCTTTTCAGGCTCAGACAACAGAACAAAGTATAGAGGAACAACAAAATATATAATTAGCCCTCCCTCCCCCCCATAAAGCAATTCACGGATACAGGATACATTCTCTTCACAGTAAACCTAAGAACACTTTTAACAATTGCCCACAGCGCGCATGCTAACTAAAGTAACCTCTTTTGAGAAACACTTAAGACGAAATTGTCAAACCAAAGGAGGGGAGGAAAAGAGAGAGAAGCAAGAGAGAAAGCCAGCGAGCTAGGGAGGGCAGCGGGGAGAGAGGGGTTGGGAGGGTAAATGAGGAAGAGAGAGAGAGAGAGAGAGAGAGAGAGAGAGAAGTGAGGGAGACAGAAAGAATTACGGTGTGAATAGGCAGTTTCATGTTGTTGGGAAAACTTAGCAGAAATCTGTACCTTGGTCATTACAAAGAAGCACATTCAAAGGAAAAAAGGACCATTGCACAAGGAGGCTTTTTACATGGGGCAGGGACAGGGGAGCTGGGGGGGGGGTGCTCAGCCGGGCCTCGGCCGCTCACCCTCACAGGGCGAGGGAAGTCCTTGCTTAAAATCCTTTTCTTTTCCACCCCGGCCCCCAAGAGAAGGGAAGGAGATCCACGGTAGCTCACACACAGAAGCTATTACGAGATACTACCACTAGCGGGGACTGGCGCGGCAGGGGACGCTGCGGTGGGAGGCTCGGCTCCTGGCTCTGCTCGCGGGGCCGGAGCTCTCCCGGGCGAGGGTGAGCGGCGACGGCACAGTCAGGGGACCGGCGGACGTGCGGGTGGCCGCGGCCCTGGCAGTCTCAGCTGGAGCCTACTTCTTGTCGCCCTTCTGTGCGTCACCCTCGTCCGCTGCCTCCGGGGCCCGCTCCAGCTTCTGTTTCTCCAGCTCCTCCTGCTCGCATTTGCTGCTGGGGAACTTGTCTTTGTTGTTCTCTTTTTTCCACTTCATCCTCCGGTTCTGGAACCAGATTTTGACCTGTCTCTCTGTCAGTCCCAACGCATGCGATACCTCGATTCGCCGCTTGCGAGTCAGATAGGGATTAAATAGGAACTCTTTCTCCAGCTCCAGGGTCTGGTAGCGGCTGTAGGTCTGTCGGCCTCGCCTGCGTCCGGCGGCTGCTGGGAATGGGGGAAAGGGCGAGACAGAGGGGAGGGGAGGAGAGGAGAGGAAAGGATGGGGGAGGGGGCAGAGACGGAGAAGGTTCAAAGATTCGTGAACGAGCCTAGGAGACCAGTATAATAAAGGCAGAGGACCTTCTACCCCATGCGGGGGCGGGGGCTCGGGGAGGCCGCGATCAGCTGGGGGGGGCATGAGGGGGATCAGACACCAGTGAATCTAAGGGAGTCAGAAAGGGGAGCCCCCTCCCCTGGTAACCAGCACTAGAGTTGGATGGAGGGTGGTTTAAATCTATTAAAAGTCCCATAAACTTTAGAAGGAAGGATGTGAAGGGGTGGGAAAAATAAGAATAAAAAAGCCGGGTGGGGACGAATGGACCCACCTTGAAAAGCCCCCAGAGCCTCTGCCCCAGAAGAAAAGTTTCTTCAGGGTAATTAAACTATAAAGCAATTGAGAAGTGCAAAAGTTGAGCGCCCCCACTCCCACCACCCTCTCTACACTACCCCCATAAAACAGTAAAAAGAAAAAAGAGGGTAAGGAGAAGAAAAGTAAAGCAGGGTGAGGGGTTTATGGATTCAGGAAATGTCGTTTAGCGACCCCCCTTCAAGGGAAACAAAAAAGAAAGACAGAAAGAAACCCAGAAAAAGAAAGAACGGAGAGAAAGGAAGGAAGGAAGAAAAGGAAGAAGCGGGAGGCGACCGGAACAGAGCCAGCAAGTCTTCCAGTAGCTGGAGGAAATGCGCCCAGGCCTGCCCGGCCTCGGGCCCTCCGGGCCCGCTCCTGCCCCGCTGGCCCCGACGCGAGCTCACCTTGCGGACGCATCCAGGGGAAGAGCTGTGTGGGCGACGGGCTCTGCTCGGAGCCCTCAGCCTCCTCACCCAGGCCGCTGGCGGCGGCGAGCTTGCAGTCTGCGTACTGCACCAGGTCTGGATCCTGCGCACCGAAGAGGCTCTGGCGCTGCAGCGGATCGTAGCCGTAGAAGTTGCCCGGGTCCCCGTGACACGCCACGGCGCACGGGTTCTGCTGGTAGGGAGCCGTGGACAGCGACGATGGCCCGTGGTAGAACTCCTGGATTTGCGACGGGTGCTGGAAGCTGCCGCCGCTGCTGGGACCGTATACCACGGTGGGTCGGCCGCCCAGGTCCTGGGCGAAGCCGCAGTCATAATAATTGGGGCGCAGGGACTCCCCGGTTTTGTATTTGGAGAACAGTGAGTTGACGAAATAAGAGCTCATTTTATTGAATTTTGAGGCGGCGGCGGCGGCGGCGGAGGCTGTAGTTGGGGGCTGTTGGGGAGGGGGTGGGGAGGGGGAAAGGGAGGGAGAGAGAGAGAAAAAAAACGCGGATTCGCCGGCTCCTAGTCACCCTCGCCAGGAAAGGAGAGGTAAAGGGAGGAGGAAAAAAAGAGGAAAGAAAGAAAAGGCGAAGAAGATCTCGAAGCCGCCACACTTTTTGTGATTTCCAGGAATAGAAAAGGACAGAGAAGCCTCCAAAAGTCTAAGCTTGCATGGCAGCCGAGGCTCGCTCACCCCCCCCCCCCCCCCCCACCCCCCAAACAAAAATATACCGCCACTTAAAGAGGTCCTCGCTTTACATTTCGAAGAAGGGATGCCAGTTCATAAACAGTTTTCGGTGATTTACTTCCCTGCAAATGAGTTGTTTCATATTTTGCACTGTCTTTTCATGATCATTTGCATCCATTAGAGACCCCGCATCCTATTGGCTTCTTCGTACTCCTCCCGGACAGAACGCAGAGCGAGGGTGCGAGCGAGAGAGAGCGAGCGAGAGAGAGAGCG